GTTTTGCATTTTGAAGCAACAGAAGCAGTTGCACAGTAGCTAAAACCGTAAACCAAAAATAAACGCGACATGCACACAAAAGGAATGTTGGCAATGGCATGCAAATGCTGCTCTTCATCAAACGGGCTACAAATACAGAGAAGACGAGAGAGAAAAAGCACTCATTCACAGTGTGTTCGAATGACCGAAAATGGTCAAAAGCAACGTAATAGCAAACGCGTATGAAAAAAAAAATAACGAGATATGAAAGTGAACAAAAAAAAATAAATAAAAATAAAAGGAAAACAAGGAAAAACTTTTTTTGCTCGGTTTTTGTGTGTCGTAATAAATACGAAATTGTCTACCGCCCGCAGTAATTTTTATACAAATATGACAAACACAGCCATGCCTTCGTAAAGTAATCAGGCTTTTTAGCATTTTCTATTTCACAACGGAAACATTCCGCATGAAAGCGTCCATAATAATGCAAAAGAACTATTGTAGTGTTTTCGATATGAATAAAAGAGACGGCAAAAAAAATCTTTGAAGCAAATAGATTTTATAGGCAATTTCCTATGGCAATTGAAACAATAAAGTGCTGATTTCCTTCAGTGGTTGCTTCCTGCATTTTTTTCTTATTGAAAGGGGCGCGAGCAGCTGGAATCTGATAACTCACTGATTATTTCATCAGTACATCCAAAAATATTTCACAATCGATGCAACAGTCAATTTATATCGTAAAAATAGCAACTAAAACAGCAGAAAAAACACAATGAATGTGTCACATGAGAGAACAAGTCGACCCCATTTGAGTGAGTCGAAAAGGAAAAAATGCATGTATCGAGTGTGTGGTCGTGTCACTTTCCAATTTCCTTACAAGATAATCGATTGCGGTGGTCTTTCGCTCTTTGTTATCTCAAACACTGATGCTATTTTCCAACTACTTAACAGATCTTTTTCACATTTTTCATCTTATTTATTTTATAATACGAAATATCCGTTACGGGTTACAGCTCTCCAACGAACTGAGAAAAAAGAACGTGTGTTAAAATCTAAAAAAAAAACCAAGAGGTTACTTGAGTAAGCCATGGGGCGGAAATGAATGAGACGAAATTTTCTCTCTCATGGGCGCAGCCATATTGAAAATTTTGTATGCGCTTATATGTAAAATTGGTGGCGCCACTGGTATATTTGATGGAAAAAGAAGAACATGTTTGAGTCTCACTCGTTTATATGTAAATTACATAGGCATTTCCAGGCCATGGAGTAAGCGGACATGAAAGACAATATCGAGAAAAGGGTGATGATTTTGATTGAAAAATAAAAGTTTTTTGTTTGAGGATTTGGCCGGAAGGGTCGAGTTATGGACAAACACTGCCATATCTTTGTCATCGAGTGTGACAATAAGTAGCTCAACATCATCCGATATCCAAACATATGCATAATTTTGATGGATTTGTTTATGATTGACCGCAAAATGAGGGAGTACACGCTTACGAAGAAAAAAATGCAAAAGAAAATTGTATGTAACTTCTTGGGTTATGGAAATGTGGTCATAAAAACCATGAAATCAGTAAAGATACTGTACTTCAATCAAATCGATGTGATAACATATTTATTATGTAATGCTCATAAAAAATGTATATCGCATAACATAAATTGACTTCTTCGTGGCCAACCGGACAGAAAATAATGTGAACATGAAAAAACAGCAGAACACTTGGGGTTGATCGATTTTATTGAATAGTATCATGTTCAACACAGTTTATAATCACATTTGCCCTATATCATTCACAACGAATCACTTTTCCCAGCAAACGTTTCCCCAAACATACCACTGGACTACTTGTTGAATTCAATACAAAACTAAAAGAAAAATTCATTGCATAAACAATTTTTCTTTTCAATTGTTCGATTGAAATGTATTTATTGGTTGTATTGCATGCGCAACGCGCACTCTGCAAATGTATTTATAACCATAAATTGGTGTAATGAAACGTAAGCAAAGTGTACAGTACGATATAGTTTGAATTGAGATTGGAAGTTGGAGGATATCAGAGTGTGCAGTTGATTGAAATGGTGAATCGCTTCGATGGGCACAAATAATGCGTTGAACAAAAGAACACGCACGAATTCAAATGTGCATCGCGTGTGTGGGTTGGAAAATTACAGACTGTATTTGTACCAGTTTAACCTAGTTTCCACCGAGTAAAATATCCACAATGTCAAACATCGCAATCGAGTAGAAAAACTTTTTGTTGTTGAAAAACTGATTGAAAAATGTTCGAATGTAATTGACATGACGAAAACTTTCACCATTTCCACAAATGTTTTCGTTCAAAAATCAAAATTCGAATTTTCCCATTGCTCGACTTACTTATTGGTACACATTTTTTTTAATAAAATATTACAGAATATTGAAAGCATTAATACACGAATTCATCCCTTACAAAAAATAAATTGTATGTAATCTCAGGTTTGTCTTTTGACAAAGACAACGAGGGCCAATGGTCCAATATAGATTCGATATTACAGCCAAATCACAAATATCAATTCTATATCTGAGTCACGTTCATGATTCGGTTTCTATTCTGTGTGTTCCCACTCTGGCCGATGATATGAATTTTTCACAAAAATGTTTCGGTTACAAATTCAAATCTACAGCCAGTGGAAGGCACAGATGGTGTCGTTTAACACAGCATATTTTTACGATTTCTTCGTTTCACACAAGTAACGTTGAAATGAAAATGCTGGGTGTGTGTGTGTTTGTTTAAAATTGACAATATCAAGAAAATATCGGACATTTGTGACAATGCTACCAGAGTTAAAACTAACATTTTTGCCATACGTACCCAACCGATGGAAATGCCAATAACATCTTGTTTACATGAAATATCCATGTTCTTCGATTGAACACATTTCGGGAGACGAGATAAATCATCATCATTATTATTATTATGATAAACATGGTTAGTACGGTTGGTCTACAAAACATGCAAACCAATAACAAAAATGGCCAAAATAGCATCGGTTACAATGCTCTTTTGTTTCACATGTGTTACACCCATCGACCCGAGGAGATTTGCTGCCAGCGAAATATATTTTTAAATTCAAAATGAAAAATCGAAAATTGTCTGTATCGCGTGTCGGTGTGTTTGAGAAAATAATATGGGAAAAATGCATGTGACTATTGAATCGCCCCCGTATCATTGGACTTTTATGGCGAAACGCACATTCGTCGAGGGTGTTAATGACTTTGCAACATGTTCACCATCACATAATCCAATGATAGTTGCCATTTTGTGACCACCACTGACGTCGATGCCAAATACTAAAAACCATCATTTGGTTTCGTTTTTATTAAATTTCACAATTTTAATATAAAAAAAATTCAAAAGCTATTTCGTACATTTGCGTCACGATTCGATTAACGATTATTTTGTGTTTTTTTTTTTTGCTTCATCTAAAGAACTTCAATATCACCACTGTTGTTTCATTGTTAGCAACTGTCATATTATGTAAAAGTGTGTCCAAAATTATGGGTTCGTTTCAAGTACAGCAATAGAGATTCAACAAAAAAGAATGTTTAAAACATATCCTTTTCGGATGTCATCACTGTTTTGTTCCATCGAAATATGTTGAGCGGCGAAAGTTTGATTTTTACCTTTTTTTCACTCTCTCTTTGTCTCATTTCCTTTTGACGTTGTTTTATGTAATGACTTGTAATCGAGAGAGGCTTGTGGCTGTGTGTGCACGCATGTATTCATGTTGATCCCAAACATAAATATTACCCTCAATTAATAATTCTAAATGCGCGTGACGATCGTGCTTCCGTTTTTTTCTTGATTGTTTTTTTTACTCTTACTTTGTTAAAAGTCGTCAAATGCGTCAGGCTCGTCGTTGTAGTGTTCAATTTTGATAGTTTACCTACACGTCGTTTACACAGAATGGGCGACTATTTGAGACGAGCCTATAAAAACTTAGTTTTTTGTCTCTTGTTATTTTTTCTACTTTCTTTGTTTAATTTTTGAGCACACGATGCTCATCAGTTTTCAATCGTCGACGGATGTAAGCGGCATATTTATTAAATGTTATCTATTATTTCCCTTTTGTTGAGTGTTCGCCTTCGTTGCGCAGACGTATCGAGATGAAAACCATTCTTAGAACACATTTCATCGGCTTAACTGCATTTGGGAATATGTCGTATGGGTAATAGGCTTTTGCGCGCGCGTGCTCATCTACAGAAGAAAAAAAACTTTACGATTTTTTTTTCACCGCTGCACCCTTTTGCCTGTTGTGATATATCAACGGTTTGCCGGCTGATGGTGCACATGAATTCAAATAGAGAAAGACAGAAACGAGGAAAAAAAACTCACCAGGAAAGAGTGAAATGTTTTGTTGTGCATCCTTTCCATATCATATGGACGAAAGAGTACAATGGTTCTTTATTATTTTAAATATCATCATTTTATATCGAAACAAAAAAGAATTTTGTATTATCACACTAAATGCATGCTCGCGCAGCTTAAAAAAAAACATCCACAACACAGCAGATTTGAAAATGTAGTTATTATCCATTGTAAATAGAAGCGCCCTGTCTCGAATTCGGGAGAAGAGAACGAACACAAAAAAAAATGTGAAAATGAATATCAAATTAGATGCGCGTGGATAATGAAATAAAAGTCGCAGTTGCTGTACACAAACACATACACACACCTTATTACGTTCACGGAATAATAATTAAGCAAACAGTGTTCAGATGCGTTTTTGAATAATATTTAACATTCCATATGGTCCAATTTTGTGATCATCGCCTTCTTCGTTGTGTTGAAAAAAAAAACTCTAAAAATACATTTGGAACTATTGCGTTGAAAGGGTTAAATAACTGTTTCTAATTGAATGGTTTCAATCCTGCTCGATTCGAATATTTACTGTGCTCAACTTAAACACTTTTTTTCCTTCGAAATTCTATTTATTCGAAAATTTTAATCCATCATTTTTTTCTTCGGTTTTTTTTACAGAACCCAGTAACTACGTCTGTTCAACATGCAAAACAAAATTGAGTTCGGCATGGCGTCTCGTGCAACATGTTCAACATGCGCACGGCGTTAAAATTTATGTAGAATCGAATAAACATTTGCTTGATGCTCAGCATCATCAACAACTGCAGCAACTGCAACAGCTACAACAACAACAACAACAGCAACAAGACAAAGAAAAAGAAAAAGAGAAAAGTTCAAAGAATTCCAGTTCATCATCGGATTTGAGCAATGCAAGCAATCAATCGGCATCGAATCAGAAACAAAATGATCAACAAAATGCACAGATTTTGAGACATCATCCATTGTTGCCGCCGCCCGATATGCATGGCAATCCATTCGGTTTATTACGAATGCCGTTGCCACCTCCAGCCGTTGGACCATTTTTGTCAAGATCCCATCATGATTTCCGTATGGAACAACTTGTCAGCGAACAATTTCGTCATCATGGTTTAAATTTGGCGGCGGCTGCGGCTGTTGCTGCTGCCAATTCATTGGCTCCACACAATGCAGGTTTCCAATCGCCCGGCAGTGAACGACCAGCATCAACCGGTGGTCGTATCTCTGCATCAGCTTCAAATCCAAATCTCTCAATTGAACCACAAATCGATTTTTATTCGCAACGTTTGCGTCAATTGGCCGGTACAACAAGTCCAGGCGGTAATTTAGTGAATGCCAGCTCGCCAAGTCCACGCAAACAACAATCACCGTCATTTGCAAGCCCATCACCATCACAATTACCACCAACTCCATTGACAAATAATTCACGGCCACAAAGTTTAACACCGCCCGAAAAGCATACAAGCGATGCAAACAACGATGAAGCCCGTAAAATAATAACGACACCACGTTCAGCATCGACACCACCAAAAGAGGCTCAATCCACCGATGGTGTACATGCTTGCGAATTTTGCGGAAAGAAATTCCGTTTCCAAGTCAATTTATTGATACATCGACGCACCCACACCGATGACAAATCGTACAAATGTAACAGCTGTGATTTTACCTGTTTCCAAGCATCGAAATTAAAGCGTCATCTTAAGGTGCATGCAACACCAGAGGATCGCACAAGTAACGCTGGTTCAGTTGAGACATTTGACGGCGATGAATCGAATCCAGAAGATGAAGAAGATGTTGAAGAAATCGAAGACGAAGAAGCCAATGAAGAAATGGAATACGAAGCTGAAGATTTAAGTGTTGGCAGTAAAAGTGAAAAACAATTTGATATGAAACGTGATTTACTTTTGGGACATCCACCGCCATCGTTGGTCGGTGAGCTAATGGATAAATTTGGTTTGTCAAACATTCCACAATATTCGGAAGCATTAAAGCAAGCCTGGCAAGAGAAAGCGCTTCAAATGCAACTCTCAATTAAAGATCGTGACAATAATAATAGCAGTGCAATGGCACCACTCTCCGAAAAATTGAATGGTTTACCGGCTGCATTACGTTTACGTGAAGAATTCACCAAGAATATGCTTCAATCGCAACAAGCTCAAACACCAAATCAAGTACCAATGTACAATCCAAATCCATTCGATAGCCCATTCGATCCGGCAAAACGTATGAAACTTGATAATGATGCATGGTGGTCATTGCCCGGTTTACATCGCAATGATCCGTTCTTTGAAAATCTTAAAGCAAAAACTCACAACATAATTCCAACGTCAACGGCAAATCTCATGCAAAATCCATTGATTAAAAAAGACCACAAACGAAACGATACATGCGAATATTGTGGTAAAGTGTTTAAAAATTGCTCAAATTTAACGGTTCATCGACGCTCGCACACCGGTGAAAAACCATATAAATGTGAATTGTGTTCGTATGCATGTGCACAGAGTAGCAAATTAACGCGTCACATGAAAACCCATGGTCGTTCTGGTAAAGATGTTTATCGTTGCCGATTCTGTGATATGCCATTCAGTGTTCCATCAACGCTTGAAAAACATATGCGAAAATGTGTTGTTAATCAAAACAAACATCTAAAAAATATGTCAGCAGCAAGCGGTTTAAATCCGCACAATTTTTCAATGCCTCCACTACCAACATTGGCCGCAATGAATGCCAGTCTATGCAATAGCGTTCCAAACATGAGCGACGACGATGGTGCAACGAATTTATCGGCTCAGGCCGCATCAAGTCTATCGACACCAGTTTCATTGCCACCATCAGCATTATCATCGCCGTCATTGTCATCACTATTACCTCAACATCATCAACATCAACCGATGTCTATCAAAGAGGAGGCTTGACTTTATTCCAACTGGGCAGCCGCCTATCGACTGCCGCCAAATCGAATGATGTCAAGCATCTTTTAGAATTTTTGATAGAGTATATACAAAACACAAAGTTATTTATTTAAAAAGAAATCAATTCCCCCCACACTTAAAATGCGCGGCAATACACACATCGGTTATTAAATATTTATCGTGTGCACTTTTGAGAAGATGAATTAATCAATTTTTTTTTATTATTATTATTTTAATCAAGTATTTTTTTTAGTTGAATTCGTTTTAAGTAACCAGTTGAAAAAAAGAGAGAAAAATAATGAAAAGAAATACAGAGGCATTAATACCAAAGTCAATGAGGCACTATCTACAGTTTTATTAACTTCAAAAAAAAAATTGAGAATAATAAAAACTGAAGAAATCATGTAAAAGAACGTAATTTTAAAACAAAAGACATATGAAAAAATGCATAGTTAATTTGAAGAGAAATGATAACATTTAGCAGGCAGAAATTAAGCATCATTTTAGGTATGTATTGTAAATATTCAACCTACTATAAAATCTAGATAAGATCATTTAAATATTATTAATTATTTCGATAAATGAATGAAATGAATTCAACACAAATCTTCAATCCAAACTTATAAACACACACACAAACACTCCCCAAACCATATTTTATGATTCAAGACAACAATTTTTAAACTAAAAATATATATATTCAATTTAAAAAGAGACAAAAAAACATCAACATTCTAATGTCTGTATATGTATAAAAAAAAGAATGAAGATTTTCGAACGTAAGACGAATTCTATATATTAAACGTAGTGTCAATTGTATAAAATATGAGTTAAACAGAAACTACGCACAGTCACCCGAATTGAAAGAAGAAGTTGAAAAACAAAACTTAGTTCATTTTGCAAGAAACATTTGTTTTTTGCCCCCTTTTCAATCTCCTTTTCACCTCTATATAAGAAAAAGAAGAGAAAACGCAGTTTTTAAACCACTTGTTCGTATCTATTCTACTAGCAATTTTAAATCTAATTTAGAACTTAGTATTCTTAATCGTAGTGTATTCTGTATAAAAAAAACACACACACAAATGATAATGGATTTTTAATAAAAATCATCACATCAAACGTAATTTGAATCACCGTTTTTTCCCTCTCAAAATTGATTTGTTTGTTTATTTGTTTTGATTCTGTTGGTCGTTTTTTTTTTGTTCTCTTTCCACATCTCCGTTTAAAGTTTGCACATGAAGAAGTCCTTTCCTCGATTTTCCTCCACAATTGAGATTTTTCGTTCACTTTTGCCTTCTTATGTCAACCTCATAGTTTCTTCTTTTTTGATTAGTTTGTAATGTTGCAAGTTTTATTTATTCGAATTTAGTTAAACGTATACTTGAACGCAAAGGTAAATGCATTACAATTAATTAAGAATAAGAAAAAAAAATCTCGTTTTATGTTCACACATACAAAGGAAAAACAATTACAAATCGAAAAAAAAAATGATGAAAAGAGTGTATCGTTGTCTATTTGATGGAGCAAACAAAATTATGGAAAGAATACTTAAATCGAAAGTTAAAATGGCATTTTCGATCAGTAAACGGATCAAGTACTTTTTGATTAGTTTCTTTTTTTTCGTCTGCGTTCGTTTTATGGTATTTTTTAAGACTGATCTAACATTTAATGAGAAAATGAAATAAATTAACTTGTTTTATGATTTCTTTTGCAATTTAGCGCATTTCTTTGTTGAATCAGTAAGCATATGAATCTTAATTGTTCAATTTTCTGCCAAAAAGAAATCCTTTTTTATTTACATTTTGTTTTTTTTTTCTTTGAATTCTTGTTAATTGCTTTGAAATTAAAAAAAAAAATCATTATTCGATCACTTTTGAGCCTGCATTTTATACGCACGTACTACTTTGTCAACGAACAATAAAAACGTATTACATTGATTGAAACAATGAATTGTTTCAATGCAGATTGTTATAATCTGCAGTTTCAAAACCGGATCAATCTCTTGATGAGAGGAAAATCGACAAGATGACTTCAAACTTTGCGATATTTTGCGAATACGGATTGAGTTATCAATTCATCGCAAAGTGTTAAAATAAACGAAAAAAAGAACAAAGAAAAACAATAAATAGACGTTTTTTTTAAAAGAAGAATAATTAAATGGAATTAAGATTATTATCGAAGAAAAGGTGAAATTATATATCATTAATTGATAAGTAATATATATATATATAAATGAAAAGATGTAGACACCGACACCTAATAGTGTATTTATTATTATATAAATCTGTGTACAATTTGTTAGAAATTAAAAAAAAACTGATGCAGTAATCAATTCAAAACATGAAAAAACACAACAAAAAATAATCTCATGATTAAACGAATTCAATAACAAAACCACAGACAAACAAACACACAATTAGACGTATAATGAGAAAGAAAAATTGTGAAAATATGCAAAAAAGAATCATTTAAATAAATTTTCGGAAAAATTTAAACACTTTTGGTTTTTATTTTCATTTCTTAATTTGGAGCTTATGTTTATGCTTTCAATTTCGCACTACATTGGTTTCAATTCTACTCGAAAAATCAGATGTTTACATTTCAGGTAATTGGCTTTAAAAATCATGATTAACTCAACAAAATTCCGGAGCACTTCAAATGAAACGCAATCTGAATAAATTTATGTTAAATTGAAAAGGTAAAATATTAACAAAAAACTCGATGGCAATCGCCGTATATGTTAAATGACAAACTACAAAATAAGACAGGGTAATTTTGACATTAATAGCAAACAAACGAACAAAATACATATATACATGAAGATAATGTTTATCTAAATTTAGGAAGAAAATATTATGAAATCTTATATAGAGTACTACAATTCCGGGTGAATGAATGTTCTTGGAATTGTATTGAATATTTTCACTTTATTTTTCATTTCTTTTTTTGACTTGTTGAAAATGGACGCAAAAACCAAACTCCAACAAGCAAAACGTTCACAATGACAACGAGAATAGAAGATTTATTTAAAAAAAAAGCTCAAAACAAATAGTATGGCTAAGAACAAGAAACTTGTAATTGTAGGCAAATTAATTTGACTCTCAATCCAATTTTGATTGTTATTCACTCCAACCACAACAACCATATGGTATAAAAAGGTTAAGAAGACAAAATAAACATTTTACTGATCATCATAATGTAACACAAAATCATAATCAACTGATGTTTGCTTCATTGAACTTTCCTTAACTTTGATATTGAGATTCATTGAGCTGGAAATTCCATTACGGACACAGCATCGAGTGAGTATAGTGCTTGGATTGCATAATTTCAGGGGGAAGTCTCTATGTTATGAAATGCAGTTTACTTCCAGGTATGTGATGGAATTTTTCTAATTGGATTTTCCAGGTAGAGCGTATTGAATAGGTAAGTCGCGTATCGGTAGCATACATTTGGGCGCATTTCAATATGTATTCATATCTTAATGAAATTGACATTATCAATTGTTTTATTTCACTTTTAAAATTGAATTTTCAAGAAGAACACCAAACCAATTGATGCAGTCTAATCGAATTTGACTACGAAATGTTTTGCCAAATGAATAACCACCTAAATAACCATACACTGAACATGAATCAATGTTAATAGTTTCATAAAATCGAACTGTTTGCGATTAATTGAAATTGTTGGTGAAAACAATTGAAACTGCTTTCTCATTTTGTTCACATTTACCAAATAGAATTGAGAGAAAGTTTTAAAAAACGGCAAATTCTAAAACCAAATCAAAATAAATGTGTGCATATAAGAAGCATAGTTTCAGCGCATCTGTCTCGCATTGGTCGCCGATGCTCGTTTTTATTGTATTCTGTAATTCACAACAGAGAATAACCACTGGAAGGAAGAGTTTATCACTTATTTGTGCGAAATGTGTATGAGTATGTTTGTGTGTCTCTGTGTGTGCAATTCACTGGCTTTCATGCCATCTAAATAAATTTCTTATCATTATTTTACGCTAAAATGGATTTTGTAACCACAGAAAATGGTGAATTTTAACAAAATTGCACCATCGAACGCATCTGTAGTGGTTCCGGTTATTGATGCACACCAAAACCGAATGCGAAGAGCGCGAATAGTGCCATTTGCCACTGCTATATGCTGCTAGAGACGTTTTATTATGCCACATTCGAGTTTATTTTTCGGTCGTGCGGCTCTTCTGGCGAACGACGCATATTGGTTTTGCGAGTCGGCACTTTATCAGACAACACACAACACTTGCACAATATTGCTCACTGAAATAGACACAACGATTCGGAATGAGCGCAAGAGAGTTTTATTCTCGCAAAAATCAATGCACCAAATGCACTCCACTAACTGCAAACCAGATCGAAAAGAAATTTTCAAATTAAATTCATTTATACCCGAATGCTTTCATAATTAAACTGATTTACATTCGCAATGCACACTTTTCTGCAGTGTAAGTGTATCAGTCACTTAAAAGGTCGTCGTATTGACGTTTCTATTTATTTAAAAATCATCATCAGAAGCAATAAATGACAACGATATAAGAAAATATAAGTACAAGTACAACATTCTTAAACAACAAATTCTTACGGTATCAATTGCACGAAATAAAATAATTCGAAACGTCAAGACGATGACCTTTTAAGTGATTGATAGTCACATTTAAAAAAATGCATAGTGTTTTAATTCACATTTATATTATCAACCTTCCAAGTCAACATATAAATATTATTAATACTGACCGTCAAAACTTCAGCGACAGATAGATTACGAATGCTTTTCTTTTGTGTGTTTTGTGAAATCTAACAATTTCTTCTGTTGAGTATACAATGAAATGCATGTGTGACAGTGTTGGGTAATTGTAAAATTTTTGGTATCTAGATAAGATGAGATTTTTTTAGTTTTGCAAAAAATGTATCTAGGTAAGATACCATATCTTATCTTAAAAAAACGCAAAGATAAGATAATATCTTGGGTGTATCTTAGATACTTTCAAAGATATTTTTACACAGAAAAAATCACAAAAATTTTGGACTTTAGATACTCAAAAGTATCTATATAACTCTAAGTATCTAGATATTCAAAAGTATCTAGATAATTTCATTATCTTTTCATATAAATAATTTTATAAGCAGATAAGATATATTTTCCAATTTTTTTTGAATTTTTTCGTAAAAATCTCAAAATATCTTAAAAAGATCTAAAGATACCACCAAGATATCGAAAGAAAACTTAGTTATCTAGATAAGATGAGATATAAGATATCATCTTATCTGGCATCTTATCTGGTATCTCATCTTATCTAATATCTTTACCCAACACTGATGTGTGAGGCTTCATTTTTACTTATAATTTGAAAATGTTGAATAAAACAATGACATACTTATTTGACTAACACAGAACTCCCGCGATAATCTAATAAAATTCGTGCAAAAAATGTATAGAAACATAAATTAGATACTGTTTCATTACAGTACATTAATATTTGAATTAAAATATTTGCATTTGGTAAAATTAACGAATAGCTCCTGATATAAAACAAATAACAAGTACATATTTGTCACAACTCACAGTTTGCACGCGCAAAATTTGTGCAAAAATTATTTAAATTGCCCTAAATTTTCTATGAGTTCTGTCGAAGCTTCGAAATAATTAAAAACCATCTCTATTTGACTTATTCATACCAAATTCAGTAATTCGCTTATTAAAAGTGGTTTTATCTTCTGACGTTACATAAGTTTTGTATTCATTAAGGTACGAAACCAGTCAAAAGTTAAAGCAATGAAGCACTTTTTATTTTTGTCGATTTTGGTGTTTGGTGAGGTAAGAATTAATTTATATTGTTTGCCAATCCTCCAAAATGGAAAAGACTATAATCTAGACTATATTAAATTTTAAAAAATTGATTAATCTCTTCCCAATAATTTTCGTCCAATAACTGTTTCTCAGAGCAATAGGAGCAGAGTGAGGAACAAAATATTAAAAGTAAAAAAAAATATTCAACCTAATAATGTTATGATTTTCGAGGTTTTTAATTTTCAATATAATGCAGCTCACTGAGGACGCTCATCCGGCTTCTCAGAGTACTCCTCCTCCCAATATATTGCTCTGCGAAACAGTCTCTGATTATTTTATTATTTATAATAAGAAAGAACCGTAAATCTATTTTAAAAATGGCCAATGTTATTGCGGGTAACCTTTACAATACGTTTTTAGTAAAATTTAATACATGCAACAAAGTAGATATTTGAGCATCCGGTTGATATTGTTCCTATTTACAATGTGGCATTTTCTAAAATGAGTTTGCAACTTATTTGATTCGTGAATGAAACTCTTCCAAATTGGCCGATTTAATACTTTCTCATTTGAAAAGCGGAAAAGTAATGGTGAAGAATGAACAATGTTCTCTGATAAAATGTGCGCTTAGAAAACTAACGAATTGTGCAAAATTTTCGACATTCATATTATTTCAATTCAATTTCGAAAATGTGCTGCGGTAAGTTTCAATCTTATAGTCTAATGGTCTGAAGTGAAGAAAACATTTTTATTAGTTATTTTTGGTAAGTAGTTCGATTTATTTGATGAAATTAATGTGCAGTTCGATTTTCCTCTGAAAAATGTATTCATATTTTAAACCAGACTTCGGTTTCATGAAAAATTCATATCAAAATCTGTTTCAAAAATAAACCATCAACTATTATGTACTATAATAGTTTGGTAACACTAATTCTTATACGAATAACACAAAATGTAAAGCTGTTGAAGCGTTCCGTGCCCCTTCTACTTCACGTCATTGCGTGCGTTTATGTATGTACGGTAACCGTATGAGTCTAAGTCATTTGGCTTTTGCTTGTGCCTAATTCAACGCACTGAAATCCGATATCGAATCGAGTTGTGCGTTTTATTGTGTTCGACAATAATCGTCGGAGGAACCGTATGTGCTGACCAATAAGAACCGATTGTCTGTCCCCTACTGAACAAACTATTTATTATGTTTGATATAATGCCGTAGGCACATGAGCACACGATATCAATTGAGGCGAATAACGTGACAAAAAGAAACCGAATGACCACTCATATTGGCTCAATACATTCGAAACAGTGTACGGACTGAAAATCAATAATGGTGGGGATTTCGATACGCTTTGAACGGCTTTGTACATACATAAGTTATTTTGTTGCTATCGTATCTCTAATCGATGGAACGATTTTTTTCATTTTTCAATTAAAAATCTTAATAAAGCAAAACGGTAGGGGATAAGCATTTCATTAAGCATTGAACTATATTGCCTTCAGGTAGAAAAGTCGACGTAAAATATATTGCTCACAGCAACACTTACCTTTTTTACGTATTCAAATTTGTTTCCTCTATTCGCGTTTCTGTTTTAATACAGGTAAAAGCATTCGATGATTCTATTCAACATTTTATTGTGGTTGAAAAAAAATTGACATCATAATGATACTCTTAGAACGAGTTTTAACAGATGTTATTTTTGAAAGTTTTTAAGAAATGAATTACAAACTGCTGAAAAATAGTTTAGTTCACAATTGTTCACCATTGCAGTTAATGTAATATGCAAAGGCATAGGAGATAATCTTAATCGTCCAAAATGAATGAGATATTTTTTATGTGATCTAATTTTAGGCCACACATGTCCATTTTCTAATCTTCTAACTGCAATAGAATCTAATACTTTTGATCAAAGTTTTCAATTTTACTAATTTTGAAGTCATTATACTATTATCCTTTTGAAATTTCGAACTCGTGTATTAGCATAAAATATTAAGAAGGCTATGTCGTCTACCTTTTGTAATGGGTTTTACCATTACACTTTCAGGGTCAATGGTAATTGAAGATATTTTGCACATAATTTACAAGGAAATTGTGAAAAATAAAAAAATTACTACCAAAAATTCCTTGATTAATTCCGAACATTTTTAGTTGTGCGTTAACAGTGAGAAACTACCTGGATGCGCTTCAAATGAATTCCCATGGGTAGAAAAACCGCTTTATGTGCCAAGATTAACTGAATTGGCCGATGGTAAATGATTGAATTAGTTTTTTTGGTAACGTTCTCAGTTCTATCATTCTATTTTATCAGCTTTTTTAGCCGGACTGAGTGAAAATTATGCCAACGTATCGGTGAATGTAGTGGATAGTCCCGATTTTATGCAAGCCCCATACCACTTGGCTTCAAGCGGAATGTCTGGTTCACAAACTCTGATTGATGTTGGCGCTGATACATTTTTACTTCCTTTGCCGAATTTCACAAAAACGTACAATTTTATTGATATCGCACGAAAAGCAATTCCGCATGCAAAAATGATTTCACTCAACGGTGCTGGAGCTGGGCCATATGACTTTAAGGATTCATGCTGCGAGGTATAATTCAAATATGGTTTCATGTGTTCTGATTAATCTTTATTTTTATTTAATTGTTCGATTTTCAGGGTATCTATAGTGTACGAATTGCAGAAAATGGATCATTTCACAGTGAGTCCCACGTTGCATTCATTAAACCCAGCGACAATTCGTTTAATCTGGAACGAATTCCATCGAGCGAGATAAAATTCCCGTTCATAAACAATTTGTTTGCGTCAGAGGGCCAAAGAGGAAAGGTTTGAAATTTCTTAAAATTTCTAGTTTGAATATATTTTTTTCAATGTTGTGTCACTTTCACTCTATAGTTTCATTGTTCATAGGTAATTCAAATCAAAGTTAAAAAACGTGTAGGAACAGAAGCTAGCTTCGTTAACATTTGCCGCAAAGCAATTACGGATGCATTTGAAAACCAGCCGGTCGGTCAGTTAACGAGATGAATACCATTCGAAATTACATTTTCACTTGATTATCAATTTCATTTTAATTCAAGGTATTGGTGGAGTTTTTGCAATGAAACAAGGCAAGGCTTTACATCATGTTCAATCAAATTGTACGGAAAAACTCGATTCAAAAGAAAAAATTCGAAAATGGTTAAAAGTGCACGAAATACCTGCTCCTTTAACTGCTCTTGGAACGTTTATTACTGATAAAATGGATTTAGATTTACGTCCGCAACATTTTCATAGTTTTACAAACACCAATCTCGGCGGTCATTACTATTACGACACAACACCGGACACAATCGAATACGAAGCATACTTCAACGTTGCCGAACGCATAATTCGCGTCGATCGTGGTAAAAATTACTAAACCAACTGGACCGATTCACGATTTCTTCAACGGCTCATGAAAAATGCGCCTATTTAATCTATAATGGCTGCCAAAAGGACAGTACAATACTTTTTAATTTGTATGGAAAGAGGAGATGTTTTGGTTAAAAATCAAAACTGAAAAAAGTAAATTATTTATTTGTGAATTTAAAATATCTACCAAAAAATCTATAGAATGACATAAAGAATCAATGGCAAAGAATGTACGTTATGGTTTCTTTTTATCTAATTTAAATTTATATCATAGTTATTATTTGAAATTTTGAGAACGAGTAATAACATTTTTCTAATTCATTTGATTTCTTTACTTGAACATGAACACGTTCAGAAATGAATGAAAAAAAAAACAAATAAAAATATGCGAACTATGATGTACAGAATATTTCCGTCTTACATTTTCTAATGAGTTATGCAATATCGGAGCAATTTTCAGGTAAACATATTTATAAAGTCTTCAAATTGTTTTTCGTTTCAAATGAAATTCGATGATTTGATAGTTCAATAAACAAATAAACAGAGAAGTTCAAATAAAATAATGCTTAAATTTTGCACATATCAAGTTGTTGTATAGTTTTTTGTTGAAAATTTAGTTTGGTAATTGGAATAAAATAATTTGTTCATAGTGTTCTTCAGCGTGTAATCGAAGAACTTGTTTTTATATTTTTCGAATAATTGAATTTTAAAGTTTATGGAAAGGTAATTGCCCCACCCATGATTTAAATACATGCGGTAATCAGAAGCAATTTGAATTAAATTGAAGCTGTATTCTGTATATTTGATATCTCAATCAAAGTTGAATGCCTCGATTAAAATCCAAATATATATATGGTTCAACGGTAGTTTCACCATTTTCATCGGCCAATAGAATGCACGAATTTTCAACAAAAATACGAAAATTGTGTGTGTTGTTCTTGTAAATAATGTAAAGTTTCAGCCATATTTGTTTATATCTGCAGACTTTGTATGATTTATGAATTTAGTTTGGTGGTATGTATTTTGTTCGTTTAATGTGATATGTGATCACCATAGTTGTTTCCGTTTTACATATTATTTATTCGGCGGCCAAATTAGCAAAGAGCAAATATAAATTGAATAGGACGAAAGTGGCGTTGGTGATTATCCCTATAACAACTACGTTGCATTCTATATGCTGTGCGCACAATGATATAAAAGAATACGGACAGAGAAAAAAAAATATAGAGAGAAAATAGAATGTGAGATGATGACGACAAATGCAAAAATAGAATCACCGCCATCAAATCCATATACACATTGCGCGCCAAAGTTGTAGTAACTGCGGAAGCGACCGAAACGGAAAGCATTTATCATTAAATTTAAAAGGGTTAGAAAATCTCCAATATGAATGCGCAATGTGTATGTATGTTTGTGCCTTGTCTCATTTGTGCGTATGTAATACTTTGTTAGGACCCTTTCACGATGATTTTTAATTGAACGAGCACGTCTACGGCCAAGTGTTAGAAAAACGGCCCAAACGACAATTCCACACACCGTTTGTTTCATCAAGCATGTGTGTGCGTGTGTGTGTGTGTGAAAGAGCTGGATATAAAGAAAAGGCGAATGAGAAAATACACAATGAACAGACACACATAACGGTGCTTTTGTTTTGGATCATACTGAGTGTACTGTATGTCACATCCGGATGACATTTTTGATAAGTGGTCTAGCTCACATACTCACAATTTCTTTTTCTATGATCGGAACGAGCGTGAATGCGCTCGGATGCGCGCACGCACACACGCATACTTTCAATATACCAAACCAAACGGACGCGGTGGAAATGGCATCGACGGTGCCCATGGTATGTATTTTGCGTATTCATGCTGACAATTAATCCGAACATACATGTGTGTACTCAATACAAAATAACAATGGGCGCCTTTAAATTCGCTAAAACAATAGCTGCAAATCAACAAAAACTTCAAGAAAATAACGCACTGAAATGACAGCACACACATACACAGGCACATACCGATCTATAAAGAAATTAATAATGGTCTCGTTTGTGTGACGCTTCACTATGTATGGGAAAAATAAATGTGTTCGACCCTTCCACTCGCAGCATATCTCGCTTTGCAACGAATGAATAGAATTCGCTGAAACAATGGACACTCCGTTTTGACAACAGATAAAATTGGCTGCCATTCAGCCATTCAAACCATTCATCACCATTTAAATGCAAACATTTCGACCGTAAAGAATTTCTTGTTGTTTTCTTTTTCACCCGAATCAAAATATTTATTCCACGAAGATATCGATTTGGTGTGAGAGAAAAAGAAGAAAAACAATGATGAATTCAACGCAATGCCACAACAAATTTTGGTTCGCACAACAAATTTCGTCGAATTTATTTTTCGAATAAATTTATATAGACATTGGCCGATTTTAAACTATAACGGTTTAAAGGGTAAATGGAAAATTAAAATTGCTTGTGGCAATCAGCATTTTTGTATCGCTATATTTTGTGGATTCCAAAACATTTCTTGGAATCGGTGTTTTTTTCCTTCTACTTCATCGCTTCTTCTCAAGACATTGTGCGCTGGTTTGCAAAGTTACCATCGTTCACATGAAACTATTTCAACCACAATCACCAGAGGCTAAAATCGACTATTTCCAACTTATCTCATCCGAAACCAAGTTGAACTGGAAAAAGCTTAAAATTTTGCATTAATTTTCAACATTTCGAGACAATTGCACTTCGTCCAATTTCTTTCAATCAAAACTGCATGTATGCAGAAGCAATTCTTTGACAAGTACTTGCGAGCACCAATCGACGACTCACACAATGCGAAGAAGAAAATGTTCTTTAACTTGTAAATTGGTTACGGTAACATATTGTTTTGAAATGAACTTTGCACAGCCACACAATGCTACAATTTAATTGTGATTTCTTAGTCGCGCTATTTTCGATTGGTGTTTTTGAAAGTTTAAAATATGTGTCCTTTAACCATGACAAAAGTTTGTTTATTTCAAGTCGATTCATCGGATTTTGTTGACGGTAAAATCAAAGTTTGACCTTTTAAGCCATAAAACTCTAGCTCTTCTAAATCATCACGGGCCTTTTGTTTGAAAAAGTAATTAAGCTTTTGATGTGAGCCGTATGTTTTGATATTAGCACATCTGCTAAGCTCTCTCTCTCTCTTTCTCTATTTCTCTTTCTTTCTCGCTGTATGTGTCGCTGTAATTAATTACAGTACACTAAAAATCGTCTAATTTTCAACGGAATGCCTTAGGAAATGAACACTTTATCCAATGTGCTAACACCAGTTTAAAAAAACGAAGAATGGCCGAAGTTTACTCAAGTTACACATGTAATCAATTTGTTTATGCCAAGCCAATTCATTCGAGTCGTGTTGACGAAAGGATGAAAGGTCGATGTATAAATGGAATGATCATCATTGGCAAGTGTTAAATTTGGTCGTGTGCGTGTGAAGAAAAGAATTATGTCAATTTTTGTCTTTTGTTGATGGTTCTTCTCTTTTGCACTTATACACAAAGTCATTAAAAAGATGACACAACGATGAGTTGCCAAAAATAATCCACATTCAAGCGCGCGTGTGTATCAGCCATAAATGTGAAAAAGGATGGGCGAGCCCAAAAATCGCTGGATAGTGACATAACACACAATAACAAATTTCCTTAATGACATTAATATTTTACATTAGATAATGCTCTAACAATCTGATTATATGATTACTGAACGCCTTGCATTCGCCGAACGATTTATCTTTGGCTCGGTGTGTGAATACATGCTCACATCCTCTGTTTGTTATCATGTCATTTATTCGGGCTAAATTAGCAGCAAGATCTACACGCGCCAAAATGGTTGGCTACCGTCGTTTTTGTGTGAGCGGGGGAAAGTTTTTTGAGCGCAAAAACTTTGTCGCCTAATAATACCCAGCCGTTTGTTTGATCGCACATATACACACACGCGCACATTACCATTCACATGTGCTATATGTTTTTAACTTTCGTTTTAATACACGCATGGTGTCTCTATCGTTTAACCGCGGTGATTTTGTGTGTCTAAACGATAGAATGATTTGTCTGCTTTATTTTGAACACCCTCTTCCGTGCGACTCACACTTCTTAAAAATTTTCACGAGACAATAATTACGATTAGCGTCTTGTTGGACTTTGAAGCAAATTCCAGCTTGCACTAAAACATATATTTTCAGACATCTGATGTTGACGATACATAGTGTTTGTTTATATTGAATCTGATTTGAGCAAATGACTGTAATTTTATCGAACACATGCTTCGCTATAATGCCCTCGCCAATCATTAACAGCGGGTATGGTTTGAATTTTCAACATGCGCCAGTTTGTAATGATGTATTGGCCTTCGAATCGAACTGTATGCGCGTGTGATATGAATGACAAAACTCTCTATGAAATGATGATAAAACTATCGCTTAGCCATTCAGAATCAGCAAAAAGCCATAAACAACGACACAAACCCCCCATTTACATGATTTTCCAAAGATTCATTTTGCTTATGTGATACACCACTTCGATTAGAACATAAAAGATGCTTCTTTTGTGAGCAATGCTTACTAAGCACCAGTGTTGTGGTGCTCTCAAAATCGTCTTGAACTAATTTTCTTTCTGAATTTCAATTGAAAATGCCACACAGCAGACGACGGTGATGCCATTGCCTCGCAACTTCCTGAATGATTTTGCCACTGAACTTTTTTTTGTTCATTGTACTAATTAGGTAAATTCAGATGTCAGTTGCACTAATGACGAATAGTAACGTGCACTTTAATGTGAATAAAAGCGAAAATCATTCCTACAAATAGCAATTAGTTATCGTGATTTATGGCAATGTTTGTGACGACATCTGTTCATGTCGAGTTCTTATTAATGTGTAGAAAGGGCATTTTTGAATTATTAAATTTTAATCATTTCATGGATTTGCATTGGATTTGCATCGGTTTGACCATGGAATCGAAGCCAAAATCAACTCCAAACTTTTGTTAGTTGTTACCATTGTTTTAAGATTAAAAAGACAAAATCTAATTTTGATTGAAAAAATAAATAAATTCCAAGGGATAATTAATGTTTAATAGTTTTCGGCTGAATAAACGAGCGAAGGTTAAACGCACATGTGTAAACACTTTTCTTGTCGTTTCAAAATATTTTATGGAAATTTTTACCACAAATCGACAATTAATCATAATTTCGC